CACCTCGATCTTTCCCCAGTGCCTATCCAAGCATTAATGCTGAGCATCTTCGAGCCATTCTGAAGGTCATGCTATTGCCTCATCCCTCAAACCAAATGTAGCTGAGCTGTGTACTGTGTAGGCTATAAGTATAAAAGAAATTAATTAAAGCGCTTCCAGGTTTTTTGCAGCTGGGAGTATGCAAGAAAAGCTTAGGCTTTGTAGGCCCAAAGAACGTTCATCAGCAATAGGTCAAACACGAAAAACAAGAAATATTATTTCAACAATAATGTATAATTTTATCTTTACCTATTGCGATTCTATTTTTTTTTCTTCTCCTCGTTATTTTGTCTTTGAGACTGTCTTCCTCATTGGTCTGATCGTATATTTCTTCCTCTCTCTTTTCTCCTTGTGGGTGTTTTGATTTCTTTTATTCTTTTTTTTTTTTTTTTTTTATACCTCCTTCTCAACCCTCTCTTGTTTTTGAGCATTTTGATTCTTTTACAAGCCAAACGAAGTACGGCAAAACCATTGAATAGGCAAACTATTCAATCGAAATCGAAGAGAAATCTTTAGATGGCGTTTTTGTCGGGCTAAACTCTATCCAAACCTATTTATTTCTTTATCCTCAGTCTGTTTTGAGTAACTTGTACATTCGTTCTGTACATTATCACTATTGGTTATGACCTATTAGCTTTAATGGATGCCTAGTTGTAACAACCAATTATTGTGCTTTACCACAGGTTATAGTTATAGCATTTTATAAGCTTCTTTACCCGGCTAAACGTTAAAAACCTAGTTATGTTCTGAGAATCTGAAAGTTTCCTTATTTTCTTTCGTCCTACTGCTTATTGTCAGTAACTTGTTCCGTCGGTTGTTACTCTCAGTACATGTATTATTATTCTTATTATTTATAATCTTTTTTGACCAACTAAACTCTAAGCTTATCCAAACCTAAATAGTTCTTCTTTTTTCTTTTTACTACGAGTCGTTTGGAAACCTGAAACTTCGGGGCCCCAATAAAAACGCCATATCTCTGCTTATTGGTTTACCTTCTTTTCTGATCGACTAAGCAGTGCTTTTCTTTTTGTTTCGTTTCTATGCTATTATAGAGCGTTGTTTTTTGTGGGTTATTCCAGATTGGGAGGCGAGTATTAAAATCCCGGGAAGATAAATGATCGTCCTTGGACTTCCGGTTTGTTCTTTCGATTGTCAATGCCTTTGGCCAAGATCTATCAATTCGCCCTCTGAGTTCTGAGATCATGACAGCCAGTACTCGTGGCGCATATAGCTAAGACAAATAGTGTGCAGTTTTCTTGAGCCAGAATATTGTCAACAGACTATTGCAATACTGCAATAACTAAAATGTCCTTTTATTTACGAAAACTGCGACGCACCCTTCGTCTCATTCCATCCACTCAAAGTCTTAGCTTCGGTTTCTCGACACGAGTGAACGAGAGGGATAATGCAAGTGTAAGTACAAACAATACACAATGCATTTTGTGTTGTTATTGTTAATCTAATGTTTTGTTTATTGATGGATGGGTGTTGTATTAGCAAAATCTATGTAGTGTAGTTACACTAGATCTAATAACAGGTCTTCTTCTATCCCATAGTTGGGGCAACCTTGCCACTTGGGCTTGGGGCCACCACTGCCACTGCATAGATCTGACAACCAGCTCTCTTAACTCTGCGTCTGTGCCCAGATGCGTATCTTATCAGCAACCGATTACGTCGGACGTGCCGGGCAGGCCGCCGGGGTCACTCAGTGTGTACTGTTAGTGTACAGCACACGTGCCGGGAAATGTGTGTTTTCGATATGAAGGAAGAGGCTAGCCGTACTTAATGACGGCTAGACTGACGGC